AATACTTTAACAGCAGATGCGACGTGTTTGGGTTAAAAATGAACCGCAATAAAATGTTAGGCGGTATCTTTCGGTTGGGGAGGTAATTATCATATTATGGCACCATCAAAGCAGCATCACCATTTCCCACCAGACCGCTGACCCATCACGAACCAGACTCTGACCGAATTTCAAAATCGACTGTTATGGCCTCGGCCCGACCTTGAGCGAATCACAGCTCTAAAACCAGAGTCCCGTGGCCATTTTCACTGGCCGGCCTGGCTGCGACCTCGATGACCAAGTTGTAAAACCTCCTGCTCAAAAGATTGGCAGCCTGTCCACACTAGTGCAACAATATGAGCAAGGGACCCGAGTTCCGGGAGAAACCGGTCCTGTAAGGTAATGCAGACAGACTCTTGATCGATTGTACGAGGCTGAGCCTCAAAGGATCCTGCCAAACTTAAGGGGTGCCTGCCAGACCATCTCGGCTCTCCCTGCATAGAGACGACCATTGTACGCCGGACTCTGTCCGAGTTACTAACTATAGACGTCAAGGATACTCATTGTTATTACGGGAATGGTTCAAGGGTTCAAGGTTACTCCCACCAGCTCTCCCTGTTCATACACACGTTGCCTCGTTCGCCTACAAGTGATGGGGGGATTGTTCGGCGGTTGCTGAGGCACTCTGCATGAGATCCTGGGCACGAGGGTCGTACCATGACAATGTAAACAAACCAAAATATTTCCCTGGCTGTGAGTCAAAACTCGACTGAGTGGCAAAATCTACAAACTACTTATCAATACATGTCAGAACTGCTCAGAGAGATGTACGTAATTTCTTCGGGCACAAACAACTTTTCCCCGTGTCAACTATTTTTGATGGCATCTTCCGATTTTTAACATCGGCTCTCAAGTAGGTAAGATCGGTCTCGCCAGGTTCCGCTAGCTGTCAACCCATTTCTGTTTTGTTTGAGGTGATACATCGTTTTGTGCAGGCTCTCGGTTGCGATTCATGGGACGTGTCAGAAACCTAGGCTCCAGAGTGAAGATGTGGCCGCTGTTGGGCGGCGGGTAGGTACCGGCGGATAGAAGTGTACCATTAGGCGTTAATGAAGCTCTGGATTCCTAATGCATGAATTGATCCCTCTTTGAGGTCGTGAAAGCTCTGCGCCTCAACTTGTGATTAATATGTTACGCAGACTAAGCCAAAGTCTGGAAGAAGAGAGACTATGGTCCAATGAAAGGAATTCCGATGGTGCTTAGGCGCCCCCAAAATTTCCCGCCCTGTACCTGCTTCTGATAGATCAGAAATCGATTCACGGATAGTTGACGATGTTCTGATTAAGGTTGTTATTGAAAGATCTATCAGTCCCGGCCGGCGCATATTAGTCGCCTAGCTAGGCGACTGAAACGCAAGCAATACAAAATTTTCACCATAACAGTATTCAAATGCGGCCGCTGTTAGAAAAAGACTGCATATGTGGCTGTTCTGAGTTGCTAGCATGCTCGATAAAGTCACATCATTAAATTTGTCAAACGTGACTCTTTCCGTGTCAGCCTTGTCGAAAGATCAACTATCAGGTAATGAGTTAAAGCCTGCATTGCTTACCAGGATAGTCGGTGTCTTTAGATTCTAATGATGGAGCCCGTGGGGCGTTTCTGGAGAAAATTGTCACAACCTAAACGCAAACAACTGGTTATACCTTAATTCAAGTTATTGTCGCCTCTTTAGCAGATATAAGCCTAATCACGTACTATCTCATAATTGGCTGAATAGGTTCAACGTAATGAAATATTAGCTTGGAGATAGCTTGGCAATAAACTAATATGGAAATGCACAGTCCTTTCTGCTCTCGTATTAGACGACTTGTCTCAGCCTTGGTCCCTTTGGCTTGGTGCGCTCAACTTAGCAATATCCAGGTGGGCGGATATCTCCATTTTTCATACGGGATAGGCGCTGCGCCCCGCGGCGGCGGGTAATTCATTACCTCTTTTCTTTTTCTCTCCCTAGAGTCGGATATCGACAAACCGGAGCCAACCATCTTCTGCTCTTCATTCTCGGGCTAATAGACTCTCGGCCTAGGACTATTCAGGATCTTGGCCATCCTCAAGCCTCATTATGGTTTCACTAGGCTGTGTTTGCAGCCGAAGCCTTGACAGTCCTACTGCCTTGTGTCGGGCTTCGCTGTTCTACAGACACGGCTGACAAGTATTACAACCGCCCAAAACAAACTCAAGGGCTCAATCAGAGCCAGTAATTTTCACATCATTGACGTCCGGGGAAACGATTGATCACTCCACGGCCCTTTCTTCCTGGTCACTAAACTTAAACCTCGGGGATACTAGTGCGTGTTAATGTTTCACCTACTTTGCCATTCGGCGAGGACAGGATAGGAATGACAAGCTCTAGCAAACGAGTTTAGTATGTATCAAAACTTTGCTTGATCGAAAATTTTTTTATTTATTTTTTTTATTGCTTTTTAATTTCAAGTCATCCAAGAAACGAAGCTTAGTTAAATGGGGACTTGTACTCAACACCAGATGATGGTTTATGGAGAAAGTATACAAATGTTAAGCCGGCACGGAAATATGGTTTGTAGGTCTAACTTTATCACTTATGTCACTCGCTAGTAATCGTCTGCCTTAGGCGAGCCTGGATCGAACTTCAACGTGCTAGCTAATGTTGCCTAAATAATATCATACCACATATGTAATTGACTATTCAGTTCCAATAAGTCGAATTCCTGGCTAAGAATGGGAGTGTAATTTGCAATATTAATGCTTTGCTAACATGCGTCGAAGTAGCGAGAAATGACTCTGTGCGTTCGTCACTCAAACATCGCTAGTTAGTCGCCATGTTATCGTCGCCTGCCCATTCTAATTGAATATTTTTGACGAGGACTGAAATTTGGTGGGATCTGTTGATTTCCCTGTGTGGCTAATATATCCTGGTTTCTAATTTAAATCTGTCCTTAGTTGAGGTGGTTAAATTCACTTGAAGCCGAACTTGGAACGTTGGGACTGCATTCGAGTGGTTGATGACCACTTATCTTAAAAATATTTTCCGAATAATCGGGTATTAATTAATCACATGTGTAAGACTGCCGTATAATTTACACCCGGTAGTCTACTAGCCCACCAGAACGAACCTCGGGTTTTCAAAAAGGCTTACCGGAGGAAGTAGCAGGTGATAGAATTTGAGACCAAATGGAGGAGATGTTTGCTGCATCTAGAGCGTTGAAGAACTCTCCACCGAACCGTATTTATGTGAGTTGGTTATATACTGGTAAAGGGGTCGGTGTTTCCAACAAAGCGGCTCCGGATCCTCCGGCGTTGCCCGGTTGGTCAGGGACCGCTCCGCAGAGCGCCCGGTTAGCTCAATCGGTAGAGCGTGAGACTCTTAATCTCAAGGTTGCGGGTTCGACCCCCGCATCGGGCTCAATTCCCGATGCTTCCTAGTTTACTAGGAATGGCAACGATTTTTTTCTGGAACATCTATTCAAATTTTTTTTTTTCTCTTTCTCTCTTGCTTCCTGATTCTACTCTGGTTGAGTGATTTTTTCCTTATTAAAACGCTGAGAGTAAATAGACCACTCAAATTTAAATCGTCATTTGTTTAATCTGCCTAGGCTAGACGTATCATATTAGTACCTACCACTGCTTTGTCTTCCACCTATACTCCGCACCACCTAATTCTCAAGACTCTCTAAGCTCCAGTCTACTCGGCACTGCAACGAGTCATACTAGAGGACCCACCCGTCGTGGACCCTCTCTGCACGCAGAGAGGGCGCCAAAACCTGTAGACACGCAAAAACTAGTAGACACCTAAAAGTAAGTCTGCCTAAGTACTCCCATATAAATCCAACTTTTAGGTGTTAAAAGCTGTTTTTCTGCAACGGTATAATACCGCAACTAAGTCAATTACAGGTATAAGGCTTGGTTAATAGAGTAAACTAAGTATAAGAAACCTACTTATACCTTCAATTATAGCTCTACTGCCCTAGGAAAGTTGGTATAACCTGTGCAGCCTATATAGCCAAATTATACTAAAACTACTGTTTCTAACCTACTTACTCAAAAGGCTTCCTTATACCTGGCAGCTTAAATAATAACATAAATAGCTTTATTATATAACCTATTTATATAATATAATAGCTTGTTTTATAATATAGTCTGTAGCACTAGTTATATTATATAAAAGTAGAGCTATTATGCAGCTTATATATAAAAAACCCTTTGATTACATAAGGTAAAATAACGTATGAGAATATATATATTATGCCACTGTAGGTGCAATAACACCTGGGCCGCTTTCAAATTTAGAGAATTAATAGAAGAATACTATATATACTCTGTCCGTAAGTTTGAACGCGATCCGGCTAGATTTACGTACGTAGGTAGAATATAACTGTTTTTGATGTTGGTTTTTTGGGTAAGCGTTGTACCTTTTTGGTGTAATTTGGCTGTACAGGCTACGCCAACTTCCCCAAGGCAGTAGGGCTATGATTGAAGCTATAGGTAGGTTTCTTATACCTAGTTTACTCTATTGACCAAGCCTTATACCTGTAATTGACTTGGTTGTGGTATTATAGTAAATCAAAAAATACGCGTTTTGGTAGAGTTGCCATATAAAACAGGTGGGAGTACAACCTGTACCTGTCTACTAGTTTTTGCGTGTCTACAGGTTTTGGCGCCCTCTCTGCGTGCAGAGAGGGTCCACGACGGGTGGGTCCTCTAGTAGTATCAAGAAATGCGAACATGGCTAATGAACCAGGCTAGAGCTATTCCGAATCTGGTCTTCCCAAAAAAAATTCTCCCGCTTTCCCATTCACAATTCGATGTCCATCCGCTCCAACCTAACCAACCACGGCCTCGTGGCCCAATGGCAAGGCGTCTGACTACGAGAGATATATTCCGAAGTGAATTTCTCTGCGGCGATCAGGAGATTCTGGGTTCGACCCCCAGCGAGGTCAAGCGTGCGTGTGTGGGAACCGCTGTTCGAGTCTGCTCGGTTCCAATTCGGTTTCGTGGCCCAATGGCAAGGCGTCTGACTACGAGGAGAATCCATCGCGACAACGACGAGTTGGAGAGAATGGCTGCTTTCACGATAATCAGGAGATTCTGGGTTCGACCCCCAGCGAGATCAATACAAGTGACCACCAAAATTTGTCTTTTGGATCTTTGTTTATTTTTTCTTAATTTTTTATTGCTGCTACTACTACTGAATCATACTCGTGCAAGGCTGTTGGTAGAAAGAGTGCTTACTTGTAAGTATTGGAGTAGCACAAAGCATCGTCGAGATAAAAGCCTTCCAACTTTGCCTACCTATCAAGATCGATTCTTATTATAGCGGCTGAATACTGGTGACGTCGAGTATATATGTACATGCACCTACTAATGCAGAGCCTGAGAAAAGAAATAACCCCGCCATTAGGTATGACCTACTAGCTAAAGGTAAGAGGTACCTACTTGATCTACCCCTCCATTCATTCCATGCTATCTGCAACTCACGCATCGCTCTGCTTTTTTGCTGCCTACCTCATCGCTACACCTCACCCGCGTCACGCACTGGGCTCATCGGTTCGAGACCTCGTACTACTATGTAGCGGGCTGTCTTGGGAGAGAAGCAAGAAAGAAAGAAAAGAAAAAAAGGGAGATCGCGAGACCACCAGGATGGCCAATTGGCGGGATGATTATCTGGCCTCGTTGCAAGAGGCGGAGCGCAACAACCCGGTAAACAAGGACCTCGTCGAAGCTTGTAAGCGGAAGCCAACCTCGCTCCCTCGCATCACACCTCATATCACATCACAAGACATGGCATGGCATCATGTCACATCACACTGCACCACGTCACGTTTCGTTCGGATGACCCGTCACCCGGCCGACGTCAAGGAAGACGCCGGAAGGAAGACCAACCACTCACTCGCTACCCCTAAACCATGCGAAACGAAGCAAGGGAGAAAGAAGAACCATCCGTGACCATCCCGTCGCCTCCTCCACGCATCACACAAGCGCATAGCCAAGCCAAGCAAAGCAACGTAAGGCAAAGCAAAAGCTGACAGCCACGCTCCTGTGCGCGCCCAACTTCTAGGCTCCCAGCTCGCAGATCGCGTCGCAGCCCTCGAGGCCGAGAAGGCGGCCTGGGCCACCTCTTCCCCGACCGCTAACGCCACCGCCACCACCGCCACTACCACAGCGACCACCACTACCACCACGCCCACGAAAGCCGCGTCCTCGAAGCCCCCATCCGCGAGCGCGGCGACGGACCCCGCGCCCCCCTCGTCGCTTGAAGCCACGGCGCAACTCCGCCTCGATCTCGCAGAGGCCCTGCGCGGGCGCGGCCAGGCCCAGACGCGTCTCAGGGCCGCCGAGGCCGAGCTCGTCACCCTGCGATCTAATAATAGAGTCGACGCCAAGCGCATAAGTGACTTAGTCGCTGAGCGCAACGCCCTGACCTCGAGAGTGCGCGACCTGAACGAGGAGCTCGAGAAGAAGAAGAAGTTCCTCAAGGTACGTGGAATTCTCGTAGACGCCACCTCTTGTGTAGCCTACCTGCCTGCCTGTTATGATTTGAGACTGTGTGCTGCCATGTGTTTGTTATCTTGCCGCGCTTCCGCCGTAGCGAAGAGGCCTGACTTGATGCAAGGAGGCAAAAAGAAGAGGGGCGGGGAGGAGGAGGGGGTGACACAGGGCTGGCGTCTACTTGTCCAAGAGATGGGAGGACCCTTTCATGCTGACTCGCTTGGCCTTTTTTTCTCCAGGATGTCCAGGACGATAATCTCACGCTAAACATGGAGCTTAATATGACCGTGCAGAAGGCGGCGAAGGTGCAGGCCGAGAACAAGGAGCTTGTTGACCGTTGGATGAGGCGGATGGGTCGCGAGGCCGACGCCTTGAACCTCCAGAACGAATCACCCAAGAGCCGTAGATGATGGCAACCACACACAGACAAGCCAACAGGCCAAAAAAGAGATGAAGAAAACAAAACAAAAACGTGCGTCGTCATTGCTATACCTGGTATCATCTAGAGCTGCGTTATCTATGTAGTAAGTGTCTAAAACGCTTGTCCCGCTCCCCAAGTCCCAACCGGCACTCGCGTTGCGTTCCGCAGGCCTATGCAACAACCCTTTGGCGCACTGCCAATTCCCGTCCAAATCTCTTTCTCTCGGGGGCGGTGTAGAAGTACAAGTTACTGCGACTGACGTTTACCCCAGAAAAGGCAACAAATGCCTATACGGTTGGCCGGTTGACCGGTTGACCGCGACCCTTGGTCCTTATTTTCTAGTGGAAATGTAGTATTCGCCATCGGACCCGGTCCAGCTCACCCAGTTCTCGTGATATCGGAAGTGCTCCACGTCAAAGATACTCGTCGCAACGTCGTTGATTGCGGTCTTGTTATCATGTACAAAGGACTTGAGAGATATGATCTTGCATCCCTTTTTCAGGTCAAGGAACATGTTGATGAGGGCATCGTTCAGCGTCGACGTGAAGGCTTTGTTGTTCACGAGCACGACGTCTGCCTCCTTCAGCTTCTCGAGGATCTTTGCGTTGGTACGGAAATCGCCCCGCTCGAGGTGAACCCTCCCTGGGGCGACACCCCAGAGCATGCATCTGGATCTAAACTCTCTCTCCTGGGCTTCCGCCAAGTTGCAAGCATTCTCCATCATCTCGCACCCGTAGCTGCGACACCCAATCTCGAGCGCGGCTTGAATGACAACGTTTCCGACGCCGGACCCAAGATCGACGAAGACTTGGTCGGATGTCATTTTGGTCTGCTCCACTAGTATCTTAGTGACGAAGGGGTGTAATAGCTCTCCATATACGTTATCGCTGCCGGCGTCATACTTGGTCAGCATCTCGACTTTCGGCGCGACTGTGCGGTCGTAGACCTGGGTGAGGATCAAGGAGACGAGGCTGGAGGGCAGGTGGTGGATTCGGTCGAGGTTCTTGGCGACGGCACCGTTTTCTACCAAAGCCAGAAGTTTTGTGTTGTAGCTGTTCAGTGCCGCCCGGAAGGCTGAGACATCTCTGTACTTCTCGCTTACCGCGCGCTCCATCTGCCTCCTGAAGCTCATGTTGTGATCGATAAAAGCCTTGGAATCGGCGTCGGTGAGATATGTCTCGGCCACGCTCTCGATGATGGCGAGTATGTCTTTGACTGCATCGATCTTGTCCTTCTGCCATACAAGCTCATACCTCGAAATATAAAGTTAGTACCAAAAGCGGAAGCTTCCTCAATTAGTCATGAACCTTACCGCTCTCGGGCGCAGCACGAGGGGTACTGCACCTCAATGGCCACCTCGTCGTCTCTGGCGCCGGCGATGACGGGGCACTTGGTCGCCCGCGAGGCGATGTCGGCGGCATGGATAATGTAGGGCTTCCTGACGCCGTCGCCAAAGGCCTTCTTGTGGCGCAACTTGCGGTTCACGTCCAGCAGCCTGCCGTCACTCCGCCGCATGCGCTTCCGGAAGGGGTCGCCGTCGTCGTCTTCGGACTCGGTGTCGTTGTCGAAGACGGGCGAGTCGCGGGGGGTGCTCGTGACGGCCTTGCGCTTCCGCTCGAGCCGCGGCTCGTCGGACGATGAGGGGTAGGGAGATATGCTCTTCGGCCGCGACGCACTCGTGCCCGTGCCCGTGCTCGCTCTCTGGTGGGGGGAGAGCTTCTTGGAGAGGACGCGATGGGCAGAGGAGGGGATCGGGCTCGGTCGCGGCTTGACGGGCTTGCTGGGCACGACGACCTTTTCGACGCGCACGGTGGGCAGTGCGGTCTGGAGCTTCGCCTTCTGGCCGAAGAGCCCCATGACTCTGCGCGGGTCTGAGGCGGTTGCGGGGATCAGATACTATAACTCGGCGTGTATTAATTGTCGTCGAGGGGTGCGGACTGATGAGCGAGGCGATGACGTTGTAGATGGTGTTTTTTGTATACTGCCTGTCGCAATGAAGAAAGATTACTTGATGTGCGAATGCGCGTTACTCTTAGGATGCAGCGTGTAGGTCTAATAGTGTGGGGTGTCCGATGTTCCGCGAAGACGAGGCGTCTAGACGAGGCATCTATCTAAAAGAGAGTGTGGTGCGCCTCGGTGCGTGAGTTTACCTGCTAAGAGAGGGGTAACAACCATGGAAGGGAGAGAGATAGAGAGAGAGAGAGAAAAGGTATTACAAAAATGAAAAAGAAAGAAGTAGAAAGTCAGGCGACCAATACTGGAAACACAACAGATACAAGTAGGTACGTTCACAAGAAAGAAAAAAAAAGAGCAAGTGATGCTCAGAGCAGGGTGTGTTGCCTACTACGAAGTAGGTAGGTACTTGGTACTAAGTCCCCTAAGGTACTTCCTAATAGCGATCCGAGGGACTGGGAAGGGCGCAGTCAGTTGAGCTGCGCAGTTGAGTGGACTGGCCTGGATTTCATGGGGGAGCCTCTCTTGCAGTGTTGCCTGGGCGCGTGCCACTGGTCAGGGTTCGTTCCTACGCCTTAGCCTAGCCCCTACTCCTACGCTAGGCAAAAAGTAAGGCTCTTGACCCCATACACCCCACTTTCCGTGTTTGGGATAGCTTGGATTATACAAAGTAAGCATCTTGGCATTACAGGTGCTTAAGTATATTGTATTCTGTGGTCCTGGCCTCTGATCCTTCAAATGTTGGTGTGTTTTCCTATTCCGCTGTCAACTCTCTTCAATTGCTAAGTAGTTTCTATGGTTTGTCGATTCACTTGGTCCTGATAAGTGCTTGTGAGTAGAGTAAAGGTAGTTATACAGCCGGTACAGACTAAGACTACAGCGGACCTCTCTTCACGACAACTTCATCTACGTCGCAAAAGTATATCTATAGCCTCGTCTATACCGGCCAGCACTCTCAGACAAATTGATTAGTTGATTAAGTGCTAGCAACATAACGGCGATGGCTACACCATCTTCGCCTTGTCGTTTTGGTAGGCCTTTCAAGACGGTATCAAGGTTAAAAGAGCGGCGCTGGCCGAGACTTTCGACTTTTAGCCTTGGCTGGGAGAGACAAAGAGACATTCAATGAATCCTTGAAGTCTTTGCTACTGACGATACGCGCTACGAAGGCGATATGACATAGAATTGTGACAAGGCAAACTTGATTGTTGGTTGTCATCTGAGAAGGGGCATCGCGCTTTATCTAAGAG